CTGCATCTGCCTTTTTAGTTCCTCTTCTGTTCTTCAGAGCAGAACACCTAAACACCATTAGCCAAAGGTGGAGCCAGTGGGGGAGCTGGCCCTCTGCCCAAGGCCTACCTATCACATCCTGTGGYTTTTATGCCAGAGGCATAAAACCAGCTGTCAAGCCTTGGCCCCAGGCTGAGGCACAAACCTGAGCTGTCTGGTACAAGAGCTGCCAGCCACAGGTGGCCATTGAGCACTTGAAATGTGGCTAGTGGGAATTGAAATATGCAGTAAATGTAAGATTTACACTGAATGTCAAAGACTTGGTGCTGAAAAAATATAAAATATCTCAAAAATTTTTATATTGATCACATGTTGAAATATTTTGGAAATATTGGTTTCAACCAAATATATTGTCGAAATGAATTTTACTATTTCTTTATGGATATTAGAAATTTTTAATTAAGTAGTAATAGTAAGGTAATATATAAAAATGTCAAAATCTGTGACTGTTTTGAGATTGTCTGAGATTTGGTCAACATAGATAGCTTAACCTGCTTTATTTTGCAGGGATGGATATAAACTCAAATTAAGGAAGGAATTTATCCAGGGAACATAGGCTCCAGTTCTTGGGAAGAATGGAAGGCAAAAAGGAGAGAGGGAGAGAGGGAGAGAAGAAGAAAGAAATGAGGGGGAGAGAGAGAAAGGACAGGGTGTAGGCGAAACTCTGTGGAGTGCACCTATAATCCCAGCAACTCAGGAGGCTGAGGCAGGAGAATCTTGAGTTCAAGGTCAGCCTCAGCAACTTAGCTAGACTCTGTCTCAAAGTAAGAAATAAAAATAACTGGAATATAACTCAGTGTTACAGCACTCTTGGATTCAATCCCCAGTACCAAAGAAAAAGGACTCAGTGAGACTCTGTCTCTAAATAAAATACAAAATATGGCTGGGAATGTGGGTCAGTGGTTGAGTGCCCCTGAGTTCAATTCCCAGTACCAAAAAAATAAATAAATAAATAAAAAAGGAAGGAAGGAGGGAAGAAATGAAGGAAGATAAGGAAGAAAAGAAAAATTTCTCAGGGTGTTGCCAAACTGCAGGTAGCACTCACCAGTCKGGCCTGGGGTAAGGTAGTGGCTTTTCTCTGGCTCTTCTTTTCCCAGCTCTTGGTCTCAGGTGAGCCAAGCRTCAGCTTTAACACATGAGACAAAGGCCTGTGATTGGCTACCATGGGAGATGAAGTGCGTTGGGTGGGACAGTTTGCTGAGGAGGGCTATGGGTGTAGAGGTGGGTGGTGATGCTGGGCAGACTAGAGAGGCAGGGATTCCATACAACCTCTGCCAGGGTTCCATGGCTTGTCATTGGGCCAGTCCTCTTCCCTCCTAGACTGGTGCTGCTCTTCTCCCATGTGATGAGTTTTAATAAAGAATCAAGTCATTCCTGCTTCTATGGTCCCAGGTCCCACCTGCTCCTGGACTGAGGCTGTTTTGGTCCTAAAACCCTGGGCCAGAGAAAACCTGCGTTTTTGCCTAGAAGGGAGGTAAAGCTGCGCTGGGATATCCAGTCATGCTCTCTGCTTTGTTTCCAGGGGCTTCAGGGCTTCTCTGCTCAGGGACCAGAACCCAAGAGAGGCCWGGAGAGCAGCTGTGGCCAAGGGGCCTAAGGATTTCAGTGCCAGAAACGTACCCTAACGAGGACAAGGAACATGGACCAGAGCAAAGAGGTTATCGGAGTCCCAGTTGGCACTGTGGTGCCTCAGGAGCTGCTGGAAGAAATGGTTTGGTTTTTTCGTGTAGAAGATGGTAAGTGGTGAGGGACTGGCTGGTGGGTGGGCAGTGGTACTCCCCAACTCACAGAGCAGGGTTTGGCCAAAGCCCCCTCCCGAACATCAGTCAGCACATTCCCTCCAGGACAGGGACTGAGACCAGATGTCTGGCTACCCAGAGGGGTTTGGCTGAATCTCACCCTCTTTTTTTCAGGGTGTGGTCATTTACTCAGCCACCCAGTCATCACAGCTATATTTATTAAGCTCCTACTGTGTGCTCTTCTCAGCACTAGGATTATAGTAGTGAGTAAAACAGAAAAATCTCGGCCCTTGTGAAGCATACATTCTAGTGGACAGAAAATAAACAAGGTAAATGACTAACACGCACAGCATATTGATGATGTGTAATAAGATGAAAAATTAAGCAGAGAAAGAGGAAGGAATTGGCCATGCAGATTATATGGGGGAAGAACATTCCTGTCAGAGGAGCAGCACATGTAAATGTCCTGAGGCCGCACCCCACCTCATTTTGATATTGTGGACAATTTTTTTTGAGTAATATTCTTCTAAAAAAGTTTTACTTTTTTTTAGTTGTAAATGGACATAATACCTTTATTTTATTTATTCATTTTTATGTGGTGCCAAGGATAGAATCCAGTGCCTCACAAGTGCCAAGCAAGAGCTCCACCRCTGAGCCACAATCCCAGCCCACTGTGGACAAATCTTGAGTAGCCAAATTCAGATTAGCCAGTTTATGTACCATCTCTAGGCAGCTTGACCATCACTCCTTCCTCTCCCGGCCTTCCCTCCCTTCCTTCTTTCTTTATTTCCTTGAAGTACACAGGAGGCAAAATGGAAGACTGGGAAGTTTGTCTTGGCTCACCTCTTTTCCCCCTGACTCTCTTTCCCCCACTATTCTCCAACTGCATGGCTGCCTCCCCCTTTAGACCAGGGCTTCTCTAGGGTAGCCATGGTGTCATCCCCCCGCCCACTGGCAGTTGCCCTGGTGCAGAGGGCTCATCATCCTTGACAAGGATCTCCACAGCAGGGCACAATCGATGCTGTGAGCTGGTCTGAGCCCAAGCCCCAATTGTTAGTGGGCTTGTGGGGCACCTGGCCTCTCCTCAAGGCTCTGTCCTGCGTGTCCCTCCTCAGGGTCTCCTTGGAATTATTCCATCCTTGCCCTGTCGGCTGTGGTGATGGTCATAAGCCTTGCCCTCCTGGGAAGGAGCATCCAGGCAAACAGGTGAGGAGCTGCTCTGGGGTGGTCCTGGAGGTAGGGGCCCTGCCTTCCCAGAGGAAATCTAGGAAGGGGTCATTTAGAGTCCATGGCTGTCTGCCTTTTTGGACAAAATGCTGCCTCAGGGTCCTTTGAGAACACAAAGCTGTTAAGAAACCAGCAACTGGGCTGTGGTTGTGGTTGGGAAGAGTGGCCATGGTTTGACGTCCCTTCAATAAACAGCTTATACTTGCATGTGCCTCACTTCATCAAATCCTTTACTGCCAGCATTATTACCATCCCCCATTACAGATGAGGAAATGTGGCTTAAAGAGGTCAAAGAAGGCCAGGTATGGTGGTGCAGGCCTGTAATCCCAGTAGCTCAGGAGGCTGAGGCAGGAGGATCACGATCGCAAGTGGTAGAGCACTTGCCTAGCATGTGTGAGGCACATTTAAAAAACATAAAAATAAAAGAATGTGTCCCTCTACGAGAGAGAGAGAGAGAGAGAGAGAGAGAGAGAGAGAGAGAGAGAGAAAAGAAAAAGAAAACCCAGCAATTGTTCTTGACTACCACCCCCTGGAGCTGACCAGCAAGGTTCATGATCCAGGGGAGGGTAGCCATTAAGAAGGTGGCCTTGCCCCTCTTCCCCTGTCAGAGAATATCCCCTCAGAAGTCAAATGAATCAATGTGGCCATCCATGGGAGCAACAGAAAGTGACCTGTACCCTCTTGTGGCTCAAGGAATTCTCTGGATACTCAGCTCTTAGCAGAGCTAGACCCCTCCATTCTAGGGGTATCTTAAGTAAAACCAACTTGGAGAGAGGACAGATTTGTGGGAGGAATATCAGGTTGTGGAAGTGGGTGGTGGAAGCCAATGAGGGTGTTGGGCCAGGGAGTGAGGTGTGTGGGCCTGGGCTGTACACACAGGACTGGTGGTGTGGATAGGCTGGTTTGGAGAAGGAAACACACAGACACAGGTTAATTAGAAATTTCCTGCAGCATCTTAGGGGATAGGATGTGGAAGGACAAGGACCTGTACTAAGTAAGATGACAGTCCTGGGGAGTATAGTGTGGTTTGGTGAGAAACAGGACTCAGAGTGGGGAGACTGAAGCATACAACTCAGGTATGAGCTTCTTGGGCTTTTTTTTTTTTTTTTGTAAAGAGGATTGAACCCAGGGGTGCTTAACCACTGAGCCATATCTCTAGCCCTTTTTAATATATTTTTGAAATTCTGAGGCAGGATCTTGAGTTGCTTAGGGTCTCGCTAAGTTGCTGAGGCTGGCTTTGAACTCACAATCCTCCTGTCTCAGCCTTCTGACCTGCTGGGATTACAGGCTTGCACCACCACACCTGGCCTTCTTTGACCTCTTTAAGCCACATTTCCTCATCTGTAAGTGGGGATAGTGATAATGCTGGGCTCACAAGTGGCAGTAAAGGATTTGATGAAGTGAGGCACACGCAAGTATAAGCTGTTTAYTGAAGGGACGTCAAACCATGGCCACTTTTCTCAAATGGCTCCCAGACTGTACACTGGATTTCCTCCTCAAACTCTCTAACCCACTTGGGAGAGCCAGGCCTGCTCCACTCCCTCAGCATCCCTGATCAATACTCTTTCCTCTCCTCTCAGAAATCGAAAGATGCAGCCACAAGAAAAGGTAACACCAGAAGCCCTGCATTTGGATGAGTCCAAAACCAAAGAAAACAACAGCCTAAATAACCTAACAGAGATGCTGCTCTCAGGAAATCCAAACTTGGCCCAGGTGGGACCTGAGTTAAAAGAGAAAGATGTCTCAAYGGTCCTCCTTCCAGATCCATCAGAAACTGAGATCCAGTGAGTGCTCAGAGCATGTGTCATCCYCCTCCCAGGCTCGGGATCCCAACCTGAGCTCACTTCATGGCCTGGAACGTCTCTGGTTTTAGTCCCCCACCCCCTCAATTCCCCACCCCGAAGCCTAATGTTTTTATTAGCAGATTCAATGAGTGAGCTTCAATCAAATTAAAATTTGTTATTTAAACAATCTTTTATTAAAAGGCTTCTGGGAGTGGGCAGCTGGAATTGCATAGTATGTTCAAACAATGGTGGTCCACAAACACACAATGGCTTGGAGTAAAGTGTACAATCCCAGCCAGGCTGTRGGTCAGAAACCCCGGCCAGGACCCCCAGTATGCAGTCTTGAATAGTTCGTGGGCTCCCCCTAACCTCAGCTTCTCCATTTTTGGAGTGGGGCTGAAAACTATGTTAGAGATGTTTCCAATCCAAGCTCCTGGGACTGCTGGTTAAGAGGGGAAGGAGCAGGATTTCAGGGTCAGAATTCCCTTGTTGGCCCTTCCACCCACCAGAGCCCTCTCCTGTACCTGCTTATCTGCTGAGGATTCATGGTAAACAGTTAGGAAACGTTTGCACTCCCTGCCTCTGAGAGCCTTTTCTTGCTAACAGTAGGATCCCAGGGAGTATCCTGATTCCAGATCTGAGCCATAAGGTATTTGTTTGTTGGTGTTTGGCAACACCAAATAATTTATGCAAAAGTCTGCTTTATTAACCCAAAATGATCTAGGTTTTGTCTCCGACCCACTGCTAGGAATCCTGGGTCCTGCCAAGCCAGGCTACAGACATGTATACTGTTTCTACCCATAAGTATCCGCCAGATGGCATCTGATCCCACCAACTGTGGGCTCCTTGGGGCCCTAGGGAACTGTCACTAGAGAGAACAAATCTATCCTGCAGCCTTGGTCATTCAACTTGAGGAGGTTGGTTATGAGGGTCTATGGACACTGTCCTTAACAAAGGAGGTACAAGAAGACCCCGATGTTGGTAAAAAAAAAAAAAATAGAGCTAGAGTCTTCCTACCCAAGGCAACCCACAGCCCTCTCCCTTTTACCTGCATGGAGAGGCAAAGTGCTGGAAATACCTTTGCCTGGGACTTTTCCCTGTCCAAGCTGAGAGCCTTTTCTTGCTAACAGTGGGATCCCAGGGAGTATCCTGATTCCAGATAATATAATAGATAAAATAATAGAATTATTTTAACTAAATTTTCTTCAGGAAAAACTGTAGAATTTGCTGCTTGGGGCTTCTATGAGGTCAGAAGATGACAGTGGGAGGACCAGGTTCTGGCCTCTGAGCAGCCGCTCTTCCATTCCCCTCCACTAGGTGGTGCTAGGCCTTCAGGGCCATCTCTACTGCCTTMACGTGGACGGGGCCTCTCAGAGCTGTCCATCCACTAGGGTCCACAGTTGGCAGCCAGGGATCCTGGCAGCAGGATGGACACTTCAGTTTCTTCCTGCTTAAGGCTGACCCCAGGTTTCTGAGCTGTCGCAGTAGCTCTTTCCCTCCAGGGTCATAGGTGTAGTGGTTACCACGAGAACCGAGGTCTGACAGGAACAGGAACAGCATCCCTGCCTGTCCCTCTGGCTCACACAATGAACTGGATTTAGGGTCACTGCTTGGTGCTGGAGGTGGGGCCAGCTTTCCACCAGAGGGTGAGGTCCATCAGAGGAAAAACTGGTGGTGACAAACCAGCCCCTGTTCTGCAGCTCTGCCCAGCAGTCAAGCCAGGGCTCCTGAGGAGAGCTCTCAAAAGATCTTGAAGCCCTTCAGCAGGGTCAGAGTTGGAGCTTTGCGCTTGCTCTGGGCACGGGATGACTTCACAGTGACCAGCTTGGCCTGGGCCACGGTGGGCATCTCCTTCAGGCTGACAGTGGAGAGAGTGTTGAAGGTGCAGCTGGCCAGCCCGTGCCGGGTGGCGAGTGAGGCCTGGTGGGGAGGGGCCCTCTCCTCAGAGATGAAGAGGGGCCGGGCCAGGGGGCTCTTCTCCAGCTCCCGCCGCACCTCTCGCACTGCCTCATGGAAGACGTGCTGCACATGCTCAAAGTCCAGGCAAGCAGACACCTCGAAAAACAGGCACCCGAACCTGCTAGCCAAGGCCGCACCCTCGGCCTTGGTGACCTGCCTGGTGAGAAAGCAGGGCGAGGCAGGGAGTCAGGAACGTGCTGCTCCGAGTCAGGCAGAGTGGGGCCTRTGCCCAGCTTCCCACCCACTGGCTGGGCGCCTCGGCCCATCTTCATCATTCTGAGTCTCTGTTTGCTCATCGGTACAATGGGATGACATCATGTGCCTCTCGGGTGTTAGAATTAAGAAATATAATTAGTGTCAAATGCATAACAAACCTGGCACAGAGACAGTGCTCCATAAATGCTAGCTAATGTTGCCAAAGCCAGAATTCAGGAAGGAGCAGGAGTGTAAGAGGCTGCTAGACCTGTCAATGGCCAGAATAAGAAGACCATTCTCAGTCCCATCTCTCCTCTACCCCAACCTGGGTCCCTTGGTCAGGAAATGGGCCATAGAAGTGACCCAGGGCATAGCTCTCAGGGTTCATGAGGAGTTTTGTCTGCCTGMCTGGGTAGAGAGTCGGAGAGAGCAGGGGTGATGACATTTTGTGGTTAGCAGAGGGAAACAAGAAGGAGGAACAACCCCTACTCCAGCTGGGTCCACCTCCTGAGGTGACAGGATAGATATCTGAAACTGGGAAGGTCCTGGAAGCTTCTGACCTAAAAACTGTGGGGAACTGAGGTGAGAAAAAAAAAAGATGGGCTTTTGGGTAGGTGAGGTGGAGAGAGAGAAGTGGTGGAGGTCCCTGAAGGCTGAGGCCAAGGTTCCCCTGGCTGGATCCTTCTGACCACCACCTGGCTGCTGGGCACTGCTGAAGGTCCCACCCACCACTCCTGAGGACAATGGCAAGCCCGTGAGATGAGAGGAAACACAAGGGTGCGTAGTGGTGGGACAAGACTAGTTTGGCAGGAGTTAGGCTAGTTGCCTAGCATACTGTTTTATAGTGGGTGGGAGCATCAGAGAGAGAGTGACTGGGACCAAAAGGGTCAGGGGCAGAATATCTAATCACTTCCCACCTGGGGCTGGTGTTCTGTGTGCTCACTGCTTCCTGAGGATCCCCTTTAGAAAGAGAACTGCGTATATTTGCTTTTATGATGAGCTTGTGTCTATAACTCTGCCATTGTGGGGGCTTCAATAATGAATTTTCAAAAACATATACACATGGGGGTGACACAGGCACATGACATTACTCTTTTCTTTAATTGTTGTTTGCARCCTGTGAACATTTTGTCAGTGGTTTGGAAACTACTGCCCTAAACCCCATTCTCTCTCTCGGCTGCAAGACAATCATGGAGACACTGACAAATGCTCAGTTGAAAGAGTCAATGTGCCAGGGAGCCCTGATCTACCAATGCTGGGCCTTGACCAAAGAAGGAAGTGGAGGTGAATTGTCACAGCATGTTCCTAGGGAACGGATGTTGTTTCACTCAAGCCCCATATTAGCTAAAATCCCACACCATTTTTAGACAATCCCCTTTGGCAAAGACTGGGGTCAAAACAGTGGTCTGCAATTTTCTCCCCCATATTGAAATCTGGCCTATTCACAATCCAGTCTTCTGACCCCCTCCTTACAGGTTCTGCAATTCCTCAAAGACAGCCTTGGTGTTTTTAACATCACATGACTTTCCGCATTCCCTGAGACAAGAATTAGACTCTGGGTCTGAGGACTGGGTGGCCTGTGAAGAGGCCTTACTGTGACCCCATTCATGAAAAAACAACTCCCTCCTGCCAATGCCTATCTGACCCATTTTGAACAAAAGGTCTCTTCCCTGCTAATGCCAGTCACAGGCCTTTGGGGCCTGGGAAATCAGGAGAGAGCAGCCACAAGCAGGGCAGGTGATGGGAAGGCTGGAGGAAGGTGCCATACCTGGCAGGTGGAGAATCCAGTGGGATTGCTCATCGAGTATAGGCACCACTGTCTCCAATGCCTCAGAGCCAGGCAGGTGACTTGAATGTGTGAAGAGGGTGAGATAAAGGACGGGGAGTGGGGCAAGGCCTCTGGTGAGCTGGAGGGAGCAGGCCCCACCTCAAAGCATTCCAGTTCCAGAACTTTTAAAACACTGTGCCAGCCAAGCAAAATATGGCTGCAGTGTTCTGTGGTCATCTGCCCTTTGGCCCAGTCTGTGACCTCTGATTCAAGTCCAAGCCTCTCTGAGAGAACCTGCCCTCAGCATAGCCAACTGGGGGAGTGAGCCCAGGGCTTGTGCTTGGGTGAGGCAGAAGCTGCTTGGTCCAGAGCAGACACCTGACCCGAGGAGCCAATCAGAGCTCCTCTCTGGAATTGGGCCCTGAATRACCAGTCAGCTGCTAGGAGTGGGACCAGAGGTCACATCGACTCAAGCAAGAAAGGGTGGGGCTGAGACAGACCACAGAGACACAGGAGGATAGGAGTGGCTTCTTTCCTGACTTCTGGGAAACTCAGCTTCTGTGTGGCCCAGATACACTTCCCTGTCTCTCCTTGTCTGCTGGGAGACCAATGCCCAGCGTCCCTTTTTCCTAATTTCCAGGGGATTGCTAACCAATGCCTGCAGATGCCACTCTGCCTTTACAAATATAGAGTGTGGGCTCTGGAGAGAGGGCCATGCTGCCCGTTCTCACCTGTACTGGGCCATGTCCAGCTTGTTACCCAGCAGCAGAGTGGGGTAGCTGCGCTGTGTCTCCTTGGTGTGCAGGGCCAGCAGCTCCAGGTAGCTGCTGCTGCCCTCAAAGCTCTGGCGGCTGTCGAGGCTGTAAACTACCAGGAAAGCGTGGGCCCAGTTCAGGTAGCGCTCGCAGTTCCTGGGGGTATCCTGAGGTGAAGAAGAGGAGTCCCCCCTCAGGGGCAAGAAGGTGGGGGTAAAGGCCTTCACCTGAGCTGCCCCACACCCCCTACTCCCAGGTCTTTGTATATTGTTCCCCAGCAGAGCCTTTTTCAAAGGAGCACTTGAGTGTGGATTTGGCTTGGCATGAAAGGAGACATTGTCTCACGAACCTCCCTCCCACCACACAGCCAGAGAGCAGGAGACCTTGGCCCCTTGGGCCCAAAGCCAAAGACTCTGGCATGGCCCCTACAGGGACCTGCTATCCCTGGGTACCACTGGTTTGGGTTAGGTTCATGCTTCCCCTTTGACTTCTGATCTTAATAGGGGCTGGTGAGTTGGGGGTGAAACTGGGAGGGGGATATGTCGGAGGCACTCATCAGGGACATCTGTATAAACAGGTGTGCGCCAGTCTCTGCATATATGACCAAAATGCCCCATAGCACAGGACATTAGAGCTGATACCAGCAATCATCAGGTCCTCCCAGGTTCCATCCCATCCTCTCATGTAGCAAATGAAGGATTCAGGCCCATGGGAGTCATTCAGGGTCATGCAGCAAATTGGAGGTTAAAAAGGGACCCAAATTCCCCTCTGAGGCYAGGACTTCCCAGAAGGCTGCATTGATTCTTGGCCCTCCTTGGGTATGAGGGTAACGTTACCGGGTCTGCAGTGTCCATGACCCTCAGATGGACAGGCTGGTGGTCCACAATCTCCTCAGAGCTGTAGGTGTCCTCTGCAACACAGATGGTCAGGCAGATCAGAGCAGGGCAGGCCACTCTCTAATGAACTGGGTCCATGTCCCAGCTTCCCCCTGTGCAGCCTTGAGGGGACCTTAGGAGGCTACAAGGTTAGAGGAGCTGGGACTACTCTCACCTTCATGGGGGACACAGGAGAACCTCCCACCAAAGAGATGCTACTTTGCTTATAGGGCTCAGAGCATCAGGCCACTCATAAAACATACCCCAGGACAGCTTGTGTTGTGTGCCTGTGCACAAAGCCAGCAGGGCTGAGTGTGTGACCATGAGCCCCAGYGGCAGAAGAGGCTCAGGAACTGCACTGCCAGTCCCCCTAGCCCCAGCTTCTCTACCCTCTGCCCCTCTGACCACAACATCAGGCCTGTAGGAACCCCCAAGGACAATCTCCTAGGAGAAGAGGAAAAAGAGACCCACATGACATGGACAGAGGGAGGGCTGTCAGACCTCCGTTAGAAGCTCCAAGGAGGGCTGGGGATGTGGCTCAAGCGGTAGCGCGCTCGCCTGGCATGCGTGGGGCACTGGGTTCGATCCTCAACACACATAAAAATAAAATAAAGATGTTGTGTCCACCAAAAACTAAAAAATAAATATTTAAAAAAATATCTGAGACCTCATATACTTAAAAAAAATTTAAAAAAAAAAGAAGTTCCAAGGAGGTTTTACAAAAAGTTTTTGTCAACATGACAGCAGAAGATTTTTAAGTTGAAGATCTGAAATCCGGCCAATTTTAGTTACTTTTTTAGTGGCCAAGTCACTTCAGCTCCTGGGGGCTGTTTCCTCATTTTAAAATGGGAATAATATAGTAACATTGCTAATWGTTTCCAAGTCTTTGCCCTTTGCCAAGCGCAGTGCTAAGTGCTTGTCCTTGCATTAGCACATTTAATAGTTCCATCTCCCAAGGCTGCGTGAGGACTTGATGGACCCTTGGGCATGGGGCCTGGCCGGCCATAAATGCCTGGAAAGGGCAGTGGGGACTGTGGACCTCCAAAATTAACAGAGCAGGCTCACATTCCTAGGTGAACTTTTAAAATAGTTTTAGATCCACATAGAAGTTGCTAAATGCTACAGAGTTCCCATGCACTCCTCTCCCAGCGTTAACACATTACACCGCCACAGTACAGTTTCCAAACCAAGAAACTGCCATTGAAACGGTGCTATGAACTGAACTACTGACTTTATTTGGATTTCACAAGTTTTTCTTTTCTTTTTTTTTTTTTTACTTTTTTTGTTTTCAGTTCTTATGACCGCCAACCAAAGAAAGCAGCAGATGGCCAGTGGTCTGCATGCAAAGAGGACATCACTGCCATATTAGCAATGGGTGTTTCTGCTCCTAATCTTCCCCTGTGCAGGTAGCACAAGTATGTAAACGCACTAGGTTCCCACCTTTCCCTGGATGCCCCTGTGGCATGTCACCCCAAGCCCCCTCTGGGTAGAACTGGGCTGCTTTCTGCCTTCCCGGCAGCAGTCTCTGTGAGAACAGCACCCCAGCCCTGGATGAATGCAGTCAAACACTTCTCTCCTAGGGCTGCTGGCAGCCGAGCAGGCCTGGACACAATCCAGGTCCACCAGCATCCAGCATGAATCACAGACAGCTCCTCGTCCCCGGCCTGCTTTGGGACTTGGATAAATAGCTGTTCTTATGCAAAGATAAAAAAAAAAAAATCTAATGGAAAATATGCCCCAAATGTTTAACTATATTTGGCCCAAGAAGAGCTGTCCCTAGATGCCTACATCTTGTTCAGATTTATCTTTATTTTCCTGCCAACGTTGTCCAATGCGCCCCTTTTAGGGACTCCCTCCAAACAGGCGTAGCATCCTGCCCAGCCCAGTAAACGGTGTTAGCTGAAACTTGGCCATTCTCTGTCCCCAACTCCGACAGCCTTTAGAGTTAGCTGTATCTTTATTGTAGAAAGACAAAAGAATGAGGCCCAGAGAAGGAGAAAACTTGCAGAAGGCTACACAGCACCCTCTCAGTAGAAGGAACTCGAGCGTGAGCCTTCCAGGCTGCACTGGGTCGCCCCACTGCCTGATTGCTTAGGGAGGCAGCCAGTTCTTCAGCTCTGAGAAGAGTACAAGGGAGGACCAGAGGTGCCCAGTCCGGCCTGTGTGTGTGGATATGCAAGCTGGAAGAAGCCTCAGAGGGCATCTTGTCCAGCATCCCCTTTACGGGGAGGTGACTGGCCTCAGAGGCTGGGTTGTGAGGATCCTTACCCATTCACAGTAACGTAGTCTTCCCTGACTTGGGGCACTCTGGTATCCCTAAATAYAGATGCTGATTAATATTCTGTGGACTTCAGTGCTGAGAGAAGAGTCCTTTCCCAAAATATTTTCCCTTCATTTATAGTAATGACAACTTTTTAAAAAGCACCAAAGAAGTTCTGGTCAGAGTGTGCATAGGGTGCTGCTTCAGAAATGATAACTATGTCCTTGCTGGAACAGGATGAAGGCAAAGATGGGGTGACAAGCGGGCACTGTCCCCTGGCTAAGCCAGGTGAGATGCCCCAGCCTTTCTGGGAGAGGAGAACATTCCCTGGAGATACCGGCTCCCTACTCGAGGGTCAGCGTAGGCACTAAATCTTCAGTTCCTACCAGTCTATTAGTCCCATCTTCCAGATGGGGAAACTGAGGCTCAGAGAGCCCAGTGCCACACAGACCTCTGGCTCTGAGCCCTCTATAGCAGAAGGCTGTCCTTAGTGAAGACCTGAGGGGGGGTCTCCTGATCCTATGCAAATTATTGAGCCCTTCCTGCCTCAGTTTCTCAACCTATACAATGGGGATGACATTTGTAGGAGTTCTTCTCTTCTTTGTTTTTGGTAATCCAAAAACCAAATCACAGCGAAGAGCACTACGTTGTGCCTAGTACTGTGCTGGAACTGAGCACAAGTCTCCCCCTCAAGAGGCTCCCAAATGTGATCACGCTTTCAGGACACCCTAGAGGAAGCTTAGGAGTTGTTCTAGCAACATCTTCCTGACACTCTTCCTGACACTCACTTTGCCCTGAACATCCAGAACTTTCTCCACAGGAGGAAAGGCTCTGGTCCCCTAGTTTCAACTGCCGCTGAAACCAGCAAATAGGACAATGGCTGGAATGTGTAGGCTGTTCCAGCAACAGGACGGATCCTCTGCGGAATGGTGGTGGCCTCCAGCGTGTGTGAGCAGAGACTGTCTCGGCAAAGCAAGAGACTAAAGGCCAAGGTGACTAACCACTGCGGGACTGCTGTCCCCCACTGAGACAGTGTGACCACACATCCCACCGTCAGGTCAGAATTCCACAATTACTCAATCAGGAAGCTCAAAGCAGCTCTGTAATGGGCTCATCTGGTGGGACCTGTGTGAAAAGAATGGATTGGGGGCAGGGAAGGAGGGACACTGGAAGTGGGTGGCCAGAAAAAATCCAGGATATGTGGTTTACTTTGCATTTCAGATACACAAGGAGTGATTTTTGGTGTAAGCAYGACCCAGGCACCAGATGAACTAAGCAGAAAGTCTTTTGAGGCACTGCCCTTGGGAATTGCTGGGTTCCCTCCSGGATGGCCTGCCCGCTCCTGTGCTCTTCCTTCCTGCCTCCCACCCCGCCACACTCAGCACTGCCCCCGGCCAGCACACCACTGCCCCCTGCGTCCTGCTGTCTCAGGGGTTGGCCTCTGCTGATCTAAGGGGCTCCCTCAGCCTCTCCATGTGAACTTGGCTCCTCAGACCTGTTCCCTCCCGTGCAGCACCAAGGAGCTGTGCTAAGGAACAGCTGTGAGGAACAAACCCCTGGAGGACTGTCAACTCACCACCTGTCCCACCCCCTGACTTACCCAGGGAAGCCCTCCACATTCCCTGTTGACGCCTACCATTCTAAGATCTCTTTGGAAGAAGGTATTATTTTCTTTAAGGAAAAAAAAAACTGATTCAAATGTATGATATGTCAAGATCATTGTACTGTCATGTGTAACTAATGAAAATAATTTTTAAAAAGAAAAAAAAWTTAAACCTGTTGACTAAGTGGCTCTGAGGACTCCCCCTGCTCCGGCACTGGGTCTCCTCTGTACCCTAGTTCTGCTGAACTGAGGGGCTGATGGGCACCAATGGGTTCAGGAGCTCTTTCCTCCAGCCAGCCATCAAGGCAGGCTGTGGGCAGTGCTGCATCGTGGGCGTTTTCAACCTGTGTCACAGAGCCCTGGGTTTCCTCTGAGAGCCCTAGGGAGTCCCACCAATGCTTTATTCAATTTTTGTGAATGGGGAAATAATCCAACACCCATTTTCAAAATGCTAAGGTCATTCAGACACCCCACTGTGTCAGTGGACAGTTCATAATAACAATGTTATAAATGTGAGCTTTAAATTATATTGATACTGGGCTGGGGATGTGGCTCAAGTGGTAGCACGCTCGCCTGGCATGTGTGCGGCCCGGGTTTGATCCTCAGCACCACATACAAACAAAGATGTTGTGTCCGCTGATAACTAAAAAATAAATATTAAAAAAATTCTCTCTCTCTCTCTCTTTAAAAAAATTACATTGATACTAACAAAATTCTGCTTTTATTTGTCTTGGGTATTAGGGTTCCATGTAAGAGATTATTTTAGAGAAAAGTCCTACTGCTAAAAATAATTTTCAGAAACACTGGTATGATTCATTTGAGGGAATCTCAGGTGCCATGCATGGGAAGCCATTGAGGAAGAAGGAAGAGCGGACATACATTGAGAATCTACTTTGGCTCAAGTTCTAGGCCAGATCTTTTACATGCATTATTTCTTTAATCCTCATAGTAATTCTCTGAGATAGGTATTTGATGCTCAGTTTAGATGGGAAACAGGATCCCAGAAAGGTTAAGTGACTTCCTCAAAATTGCACAGCTAATAAGTGGCAGAGCCAGGATTCAAACCCAGCTCTGATGGGCACCAGTACATCCCCTTTTTCAATATGCTATGATACAGCTAAAAAAGCAAGGCTAGTTTACTCATGTGGTTCAAAAAAATTGGTTCAGAAGCCAGCATCACTAGAGAATTTTTCATGTGGTTCAGCTTTTCTGGAAAGAACACTGAGTGATCATCTTAAAGAACAATATCTTTTTGGATGTGGATATCTTTCTATGTCTGTTTTTTTTTTTTTTTCAACTTTCATCATACCTCAAAATTTTGGGCAAATCCATTTCTCACAATTCTCTGAATTGGGTCAACCTCCAACTTGTCTAGGGTGGGCTGTGGAAGGGGTACTTCTTACACTTAAAACATTTCCCTCCATGGGGTGGGTGATCCTGGTGACTCCTCCCTTCTGCCCCCAGGTATGCAGTACTGGTCAGGGCCCACCCACGGGGTAGGTCTCAGGGGAGTGCTCCAGGTGGGGCACAGGCAGCCAGAGGTCTAGGAAAGAGTGGTTTCTTACCCAAGTTGGGGTCATATTCGCTGATAAACCTCTTGGTCAGAAACTTCACGGTCAGGGCTGCAAGAAGCAGAAAAAGGTGGCCTCAGTGTCGCCTGCAGTGCCTGGCTGCGGGTCCCTGGAAGCTGCCCTTCTTAAGGAGGCCTTATCTAAACTTCTGTGACCCCTGGCTGACACCAAGCTAAGTTTTTGTGGGGAACCACACTGGAGAGCTGAGGAGTTGGTTTGAGAAGCTCAGAAAAAAACATAGAAATATGGGGTGCCAAGTTCCACTAGGTGCACCCTGAGTTTTGTTTTGTTTTAATGGCAAGAAAAACAATGAGAGGCAAGGCTTAGGAATTTTTGTGTAGACCCTAACTCAGGGATCAGGACCCTTGCAATTAGCTACTGTAGGGTCAGCCTGGTGAGACCCCAGAAGAAGGGACATGTTCCCCACCCTGGACAAGTCACACAGATTCTGAAGCTGAGGCATTTATTTCAGCTTTGGCTGCAAGCCAAAGAGACAGTAAGAGCAGAGTTGAGCAGTGAGCCATTCCTGGGAGGGTATGAAGTCCCCAGGGCCTGGGCTGTCCAGGCAAGATCCCTGTCCTGTGCCCATCCTCCACATCTCAGATCCTGGTTCTCTCTTTGGCCTCCACACCCCTCATGGGTATCTCGGCAGAATGTAAAGCTCTAGCACGAAGTTCTCCCCGGTGGGGTGCATCAGGAGGCTTCTGATTTTGCTCAGAGTTTAGCCACATAAAGGCAGGGGTTGGCCAACTGTTTATTACACTGGGCTCTTAAAAAGTAATGTGATATTGTTGAGAAAATCCTTAAAATTCTTTCCTAGGATTCCTACCAGTGTCCATTTGGAAACTAATACCCAGGGGATACATATTTTAAAATGTAAATTCCTGCATTCATGTAGTTCTGGCTAAACTGTACCAGTGACAGAGTTCCAGAATAATGTTCAAAGGGGCAAAGGCAAATCTTTCTGGTTGCATGACCAGATTCTGAGTCCCCTCTTTAAGTCAGAGGGGCTGGCTTCAAAATCAGAAAGTAACACCCTCAGTGAGTCTCAAAGAACACCCCGGAGCATGGGGAGCCTACAGCTTACTAAGATCTTGTTGGCCATTCATTAATGGCTCTAACTGGACGAACGGCCAGTGGAGAAGCCCTCCTCTGCCCTCTACTTTCAGCTGTCTGGGACTTAAAACGGCAGGCAGAGGGGCAAACCCTGTTTCTGAGGTTTCTCTGCCTATGGCGACAAATGCCAGAGTGGTGAAGGCAGAGTTCAGTGGTGACAGAAATTATCTTAGTAGAAGCCCAAGACCTTGGTTCATCAACAAGTCCCAGGCACGGAGGACCACAGTCCAGTGTATTTCCAGAAAGTTAATAGAGGGGTCTGGTTTGATAAGAATGTGCAGTTTGTCCAGGAATCCCCAGGAACTGGGGTGTGGAGTGGGGAAATCCTGATATCCAGAGATATCTTGATGAGTGTCCGCAAAGGGACCTGTTGGATGCTGGCCTCCAGCCCAAGGGGCCCTCTTTGAACTTTTAACTGTGGCCTTAATATTCCCCGATGAAGGAAAGCACAAGGTCTCACGCAACCCTCCTGGGAAAAGAAGCCCCCAAGTCCACAGCGCCGCGTTCCCACCGCACGTTCCCCGTCCCTCCGCTCCCCAATCCCGCGCCACTCACCGGACTTGCCCGCCCCGCGGTGCCCCAGGATGGCCAGGTTGACCTCGAGGGGCGCGATCTGCAGCCCGCTGCCCGCACGGGGCTTTCCAAACACCGAGGACATGGCGACACCGGTGAGTGCGACACGTGTCTTGGGCCGACGGGTCCCGAGCAGCGCGCCCGCCCGTCGGGGCCCCCGGGAGCGGCAGTCGTGGCACCCTGGGGCGGACGCGTCGGTACCGCGCGCCCGACCCGAGCCGAGCGCCGGCGGCAGAGTTCCCGCGGCCCGGAGGGACCCGGCCGGAGGAGGGGCCGCAGAGCCGGCGGGCGGGGCCGCCGAGCTGCGACGAACTCCTTTTAAGGTCCGCGGGAGCCCCCCGCGGGGCGCGCTCGCCCTCTCCGCGCGCGCCCGGCCGCTCGCGCCCCCACCGACCGGCTCCGCCTKGAGGACCCTGGAAGCCCCAGGCCCCGCCGCGAAGGATGGATCGGAGAGAGGGATTCTCGAGCAGAGGGATAGAGAGAAAGACTTTCCCAAACCTCCACTTTCTTTGCACCAGCTAGGAAATCCACCYTTTCCTTTGTTCCACCGGGATGGCCCCGCCGCCGCCTCCAGGAAGCCTCCCGGTCTTGCCCTTTCTTTAGGTTAGTGGTCTCAGCCTTGGCGCTCTATTTCTGCAACCTGCTCTTCTGTGTCGGGGTTYTAAGTGGCATCACTGCAGAACTCAGGGGGAGAGAGTCCCTTAGTAAGACTTCATGACCACTATGTTTTCAACTTCAAGAAACTGGATTCATCCAGCCTTACTGTTTCTTCCTTATGCGACCTAATGAGTTGCATGTGTTTGTGGTCTGTGGTGTAAATGGGGCATTTGTTCTAAAACCTGGCACCCCTCTTGCCTACAGTTCTGAAATTGGTGAGCTTGGCAGGAGTCACCTGGTCATTTCCCTTGGATCTCAGGGTAAACCTGATCTTGCTGGAGAAAATGGCCCATACCAAGAATATAGACAGGATCTAGGGCCAGCTCCTTCCCGTGACCTTGGACAAGTCTTTTTTTTTTTTTTTTTTTTTTTTTTTGGTAGGGGGAGATTGAACCCAGGGGTGCTTAACTATGAAGCCACATCCCCAGCCCCTTTTTTAAAAATTTTGAGACAGGGTCTTGCTTAGTTGCTTAGGGACTCTCTAAGTTGCTGAGGCTGGCTTTGAACCCAGGATTCTCCTGCCTCAGCCTCCCAACTGCTGGGATTACAGGCTGCACCATCACTTTACTTTTTTGAGCTTCAGTGTTCCCAGCTATGAATACTAGAGGAAGGGAAAAGAAATCTAAAATTCTATGATGTCACTCATCTAATAAAGACTGATAGAGTTGGACCTAGGCTCCAGATCTGAGTATGTTCTAGAAGGCTGTGGAGATTGTCTTTTGGAATACACTCCAGGCTAGAGTTGGGAAGGGTATGGGAACCTAACTACAAYCAGTTCCCTTCTCCTTCCCCCAGATGGTTAGACAATCTACCCACCCATCCACAAAAGAAATAGAAACCCAGGTCGGCAGCAGAGGGTCCCGGGTCAGAGCAGGATGGGAATGACTTCTCTCCAACCAAGAAGGAAAACAGTTTTCCTGTATAGGACATGAATATTGGCTCAGCCTGTGTTTGGGGGAGACCACAATAAAACAGCTGTGTTATTACGACTCTAAGGTACAGGGAGGAATTTGTTTAGATTACACCCTGAGGCCAGAAATGCTAGCACAGCTAATGACCAAGGGTTTTCCTTTTAGTTGTAGGAGTTGAGAATGTGGGAGCCAAGTTCCAGCGTCATCCCTGGGCTGGCCACAGTCCTGTGAAGAGACTGGATCCAGAAGGAGTCTGTGGGGAGAAAACCAATCTTCCTGGAGGGCTGCTGGGGAGAAGGCAAGCTGTGGATCCACACAGGCCCTGCAAAMGAACTCTGCTTCTCCCCAGCTGGGACTGGGGCAGGAATTATTTAATGTCTTTCTGTTCTCAGTTTCTTCCTCTTTAAAATTCAGACCAACCAGGAGATGGGAGTTGCAAGGAGGCAGACTCTAGCTCAGTATGAGGGTGAATTCTAACCATGTGGGACTGTCCTTGGATGAAGCGAACCCCCTGACCTTGAGAACAACCAAGGGGATGAACACTTCAACACTTCCAGGAGATTTTGTAGAGGAGACTCCAGCCTGACTTTCACAATGGGCTGAGATGATTCTTAATTCCATTTTAGTTTAGAGATTGAGCTGGTTGCTAGTCAGTTACTCAGGCTGTCAGCTGTCTCAGCTGAGGGCTCAAAGTCTGAGGCTTGGGAGGAGAGTGCCAGGATCCTTTCTCTACCCTCAGCCTCCTCTTCTGTAGGCTGCTTGTCCAGCACCCAGAGTACCCACTGTGGACTGGAAAGATCTCAGGAATAAATCCAGTTACCATCAGGCCCTAGAATAAGCTGCTTTGCTTTTCCAGGCCTCAATTTCTCAGCTTTAAAATACTGGTATTAAGGGTTAGGTGAGGTAATATGAAAGCACCCCACCCAGAGCTTCGCCAATGGCCCAAAGAAGCAACTGATAGTTGCCTCTTCTCTACCTTCCTGAACAGCACACACTCCTGGTTCACCTGCCAAGAAGTCAGTGGGCAGTGTAGTTAGTAGAAACGTGGACACTTCAGCTCAAGAGAGTGGTTATGCCAGGTGCTGTGGCTCAGGCCTGTAATCCCAGTGACTCAGGAGGCTGAGGCACGAGGATCGAAAGTTCAAAGCCAGCCTCAGCAACTTAGGGAGACTCTAAGCAGCTCAGTGAGATCCTGTCTCTAAAAAAAAAATTTTTTTTAGTTGTTGATGGACTTTATTGTGTTTATTTTTATGTGGTGCTAAGAATTGAACCCAGTGCCTCATGCATACTAGGTGAGCACACGACTACTGAGCCACAACCCCAGCCCCTCTAAATAAATTTTTTGAAAGGGCTGGGTATGTGGCCCAGTGGTTAAGTGCCCCTGGGCTAAATTCCTGGTATACACACACACAAAAAAAAAAAAAATCACGAGAGGTTATTCTGTTGGACAAGTATCCCAACTCTCCTGACCCCACCCCCACCATGGGTCTCACAGATAGATGACCCTCAGGCACCCAAAATACTGAAGCTCTGCACAATTCCCGTAGTGGGCACGAAGCAGATACTCAATAGATGTCCCTGGAGTGAACAGGTGGGGCATGTAGAGGTGTAGGCATGAGGAAACCACGTGAAGGTTTCTTGATGCCACGTCCTAGATGGCTTCAGGCCACTAACCCCCAGGAACCATTCCATCTAAAGCTAAGCTTTTGGAAGCCCTCTGTGATGTCACTACTCTTCCTGGAGAAACAACATGTTTGTTGTCAAACTCAGATGTTCAAGCTGAACAGAACCTTTGAAATCAGATCCAAACTCTGTCTAAGATGAAGAACTTGCCTGGAGGGGATGGGTAGCTCTTGCAAGTCAGTGCAGTACAGCATCAAAGCACAGGCCAGAATCCTGACTCCCGGATCAGGCAGTGCAAGCTACTGGCTTCCCTGTATGAAGAAACTTCTCCATCAGCCTGGAGGTGGGGTGGGGGCTGTCTCCCAGGGCAAGGGCTATGTCTCCCCCATCAGACTGAGGGTCCCCCCRAACAGGGGCTGTGACTTCCCAAACAGACTGGGTGGGGACTGCCTTAGGTTAGGGCCTGGGATTCCACTTAACAGACCCCTACTGTGTGCCAATCATGTGGACAGAGATGAACAAGGCCGAGTCTGTGTTCTAGAAAGAAGTCTGCTGCAGACTTCTTTCCTTGTCCCTACCCCCAGCCTTACACAGTGCGGGGGTGCACAGTGGAAAGGAGGTTAGTGTGGGGTCGGGCAGAGCCTGGGAACTCTGTGGGCTGCCCACAGCCAGGATGGTTCCTTGTCCTCTCCAAATCCCAGAGGGATGTTCCGTGTCTGGGAGGTGGAAACTCTCCTCAGCTGCAGGCAGCAGCCGATAGGGCCCTGGGGGTGGGCCCAAACAGCTGATCCACAGCCCAGCCTCAGAACCATAACCCCCAGCTTGGGTCACCCCTCCCCACTGCCTGGCTGCTGAACTTGGACACTGGGTGTGTGCATGAGCCCCAACCCACTCAAAGAGGCTGGACTGGGGGAAAATCAAGCAGAGAGCAAACTTCAACCAGGGGTCTGTGCTTCTGCTGCCTCCTGCTCTCAGGAGGGCTGGCGATGCTTCCATCTTTGTGGCGGCTGGTTCCTAGGTGTCTGGAACAGGCCAGCTGGGAGGGAATTGGGGCCCTAGGAATGTGCAGTAGCCCTGACTCCCTGGGTGGTCAGCCCTCCCCAGCCCTGCCCCTCGGAGCCTCACGGTGTCAGTGAAGAGTGGCAGCTGGGCTGAATTGGAGAGCAGGCCCTAGGGTCRGTGGACAGGGTTCAGTCCAGTCCCACATCCTCCTTCATAACCAAGAAAACCCCCTCCCATCTCTAAGCCTCCCTTCCTGTTCCGTGAGATGGTAACAGTCAGATACCTTCTCCCTTCCCACTAAGGCCACTAGTAAGAACCCAGCACTGCAGAGCCCCCTTGACCTCAAGAGGGGATTGTCATGTCTGCTACCTGGAACTTGCAGGCCCTTTCAGCCAAAGTCTGGTCTCAGGGAAGGAGAGAAGCTGGCAGAGGGCCTGGGATAGTATTCATGAAGACTCCTGTCCCCCGCCCCTACCCCATTCCTCCTCTTCTTCCTGTCTGGTCCCTAGGGCAGAGTGTCTGAGATATTTCTGGCTGCCTCCTCCAGGCCTCTGGCTTCCCAGGCTCACACAAGTGGTCCCCATATCCCAGTCCCATTCTGACAGGGTCAAATTAGGTGGAAGTTCCCTAATTGGGGAGGCACATTTGCTTTGGGTCTGCAGATTCATCCTGAGGGTCTGTGCATAAGTGTATCCCAAACGGAGGAAAGCTCCCCTGCCCTCCTCCCAATTCCTGCATGGTCACTGTAAGCTACTCATCCTTCCAAAGGAGGCCTGAGGAGAAGGTGGGCCAGCTGAACATCCCCCAAAAGGCAGATACCATTTGCTCACCTGCAGAAGAAGATGGTAGGAGAAGATATTTACTAAATTCCTTTCTGCCTCACTTTTTAGGCCCCAGAGTCTCAGCTGATCACCTAGGAGGGTCCTGCGCATTGGGAAAAGTGTCATAGACTGGGCAGCAAGAGGTCTGGGGTTCTCTGCTCCAAGTTGCAAACCTTGGGTAACTTCCTGTCCCCATGACCCAGGTCCTCCACTATAAATGAAAATGGTGAACCATGAGAGCCCAGCATTTGTAACACAGCACCAATGATGAGGGTCCCAGTCTACCGTTAAAAGGACTGCATTCCAGTCCTAGGTCTGCCTAGATTTGGCCATGTGATTAAACCTCTTGGTGACTCAGTCTCCTCATCAATGAAATGGAGCCATTAATAATACTATCCAGTTCATAGTGTTGCTATAAGCAGTGAGCAGATAATATCTATTAAATGGGAGAAATACTATCCGCTCAGAATTGTTGCAAGGATTATAGAAGTTAATATAAATGCTATTGCAGTGCCTGACAAAAAATGCAATTTAAATGTTAGCTATTATTATTCCAAGAAGCCACTCTTTCCATCCATAGGCATAAGATGTCTGCAGTACCCCCACTTTCTTTCTCTCAAGGTCCAAGTCACACAGCAATGAAAGGGTTAGGCAAGTAGAGAACAGACATCTGCTTCCATTCCCATCCCAAGTCAGAAATAAGTTCCATAGGTAGGGAATGATTGGATGTACACCTGCAAAGCAGAGTTGCTATTCTTCCCATTTTACACAAAAGGAAGCTGAGGTTCAAAAACAGATTGGGGGTGCTGGGGTTGTAACTCAGTGGTGGAGTGCTTGTCTAGCACATTTCAGGCACTGAGTTCAATCCTCAGCACCACATAAAAATAAATAAATAAAATAAAGGTATTGTGTCAATCTGCAGCTTACACACACACACACACACACACACACACACACACATTTCAAAAAAAAAACCAAAAAACAAAAAACAAAACAGACTGGGCTCCAAATACAGGGCCAGAAGCTCAGGACACATTAGAATCCTGGACCATTCAATTTGCTCAACTTCTGCCTCTCCCTCCAACTTGCCTGTCCCACCCCCTCTGAGCTGATGGGGTGGGTTGGATATTTATCCTGCTCTGGTTCTTCCTAGCTAAATGACCTTGGACAACTCACCTAAACTCTGTGAGCCTCCTTCAGAATGCTTTACAGATATTGTTCTACACAATGAAATAGGTGTTATTATTATTATTGCCTCCCCTACACTGTTTTTTTTTTTTTTTTTTTTTTGCAGGGGAGGGTGGTGGTACTGGGGATTGAATCCAGGGGCATTCTGTTACTGAGCCCTTTTTAAAAAAATCTTTCATTTGGGGACAGGGCTTTGCTAAATTGCCATCCTCCTGCCTCAGCCTCCCAARTAGCTGGGTCTATAGGCGTGTACCCTCACTGGCGCTTAAATAGCCCCATTCTGAAGATGAGGAAACTGAAAAGCAAGGAGTTAAGGTACTTGCTTTGTACCAAGGTGACACAGCTGATACGGTGCGAGTTAAACGGGGTATCTTTATAAGTGGCCTCGCAATGTCCAGCATGCTGTAGATGTTCAGTATATAGTCACTTTTATCACGGTTTCTCTTATGGAGGTGACCACACGGATCTCCTGATGCCCTCTGGGCCCGGGGCCATCCAGCCTGCGGGCCACCACATCACATGTGCCTACTATCTTTAGCCAGGGAAGTATTTATATCCCTGGGGGACGTTTTTTTCCCAGTACAGGGTAGCCCCAGAGTCGGTGGTTCGGCGAATCCAGGTCCCCAGCGGCAACCTCCGCCCCTCTGGCTCACCATGCCGCGGGGCCCTGAGGTCCCGGTTCAGGTCTGGGTGGGAGGCCAGCTCTTCCAAGCTGACCAGGCACTGCTGGTGGAGCACTGTGGCTTCTTCCGCGGCCTCTTCCGCTCCGGCATGCGGGAGGCTCGCGCTGCAGAGGTGCGCCTGGGCGCGCTGAGCGCGGGTGGCTTCCGCACCACGCTGGAGGTGCTGCGAGGCCAGCGGCCGGCACTGGCGGCCGACGATGAGCTGCTGCAGGCGGTGGAGTGCGCCGCCTTCCTGCAGGCGCCGGAGCTGGCGCGCTTTCTGGAGCACAGCCTCACGTCGGACAACTGTGCGTTGCTGTGCGACGCCGCCGCCGCCTTTGGCCTGAGAGACGTGTTCCACAGCGCTGCGCTCTTCATTCGCGATGGCGAGCGCGAGCTGGCGGCCGATTTGGTGCTGCCCGAGGCCCGCGCCTATGTGGCGACCCTGCGGCCCAGCAGCTATGTGGCCTTGAGCACTCACACGCCTGCTCCTGGCTTCCTGGAAGATGAGTCACGCACAATGTGCTACCTGGACGAGGAGGAGGACGTGTGGCGTACGCTGGCCGCGCTGCCCCTGGAAGCCAGCACAATGCTGGCAGGAGTGGCCACGCTGGGCAACAAACTCTACATTGTGGGTGGCGTGCGTGGCCCCAGCAAGGAGGTGGTGGAGCTGGGCTTCTGCTACGACCCCGACGGAGGCACGTGGCGCGAGTTCCCCAGCCCACACCAGCCACGCTATGACACGGCACTGGTGGGCTTCGACGGCCGTCTCTACGCCATCGGAGGCGAGTTCCAGAGGATGACCATAAGCTCGGTGGAATGCTATGACCCGGCCACTGGCTGCTGGAGCTTCATGGCTGACCTGCCACAGCCGGCCACAGGGGTGCCCTGCGCCCAAGCGCGTGGCCGCCTCTTCGTGTGCCTGTGGCGGCCGGCAGACATCACCGCAGTTGTGGAGTATGCGGCGCGGACCGACGCGTGGCTGCCGGTGGCCGAGTTGCGGCATTCGCAGAGCTACGGCCACTTCATGGTGGCCCATCGTGACAGTCTCTACGTGGTGCGCAATGGACCTTCCGACGACTTCCTGCACTGCGCCATCGACTGCCTCAACTTGACCACGGGCCAGTGGACGGAGCTACCTGGCCAGTTTGTCAACAGCAAGGGAGCACTTTTCACTGCGGTAGTGCGTGGCGACACCGTCTATACTGTCAACCGCGTGGTCACCCTGTTGTACGCCATCGAGGGTGGCACCTGGCGGTTGCTCAGCGAAAAGATAGGCTTTCCCCGGCCCGGCTCTTTGCAGACCTTTCTCCTGAGGCTGCCCCCTGGAGCTCCGGGGCCTGTGGCCAYGGCGTTGCCAGAACTGTGAGCCCTGAGCTGGCGATAGGAGAGGACACCCTGAGTCTCCCCTGAGCAGAGGCTGAGTGTGCGAGACTGATTTTGAGAAGTTCCTGGGAATTTCATGTTCCCTATCGAGAGACTCTGTTCTTGAGCCTTCTGGTGGTGTGAACATGCCCAAGCAGCTCAGGGAGCAACAGTGACACGGGGGTCTGAGCCCTCAAATCACTTAGACTCTGCTGAGAGATGGTGGGTCATGATGTCAGTGAAAGGGGTAGGAGGGTTAGGATTTGAATAATCCGGGCTTATTGCTTGCCTAGTCCTCCAGCCTGTGTGTGGACTTGGCCAGCAACTGAGCATGGCTAGGAGCAGGTTAAGTGTTGTTAGCCAAACTAACAATCAGTAGGCACAAATTAGGTGCCTATCATTTTCCCAACTCAGTGCTAGGCCCAATGAGAGCTGTAGTTGCTAAGCAGGGGTCCACAAAGCTTTGAGTCTAGCCCCCAAAAAACTCAATTCTAACTGAACAGTTACAACAAAGTTTACACATACTTGTCTCCATCCRCAAAGCAACATGTTGTTATTTTTTTAAATTGTTTGTTTGTTTTTTGTTTTGGTACCAGGGATTGAACTCAGGGGTACTTAACCCCTGAGCCACATCCCCATTCCTTTTTTGTATTTTATTTAGAGACGGTCTTACTGAGTTGCTTAGGGCCTCCCTACCTTGCTGAGGCTGGCTTTGAACTTGCAATCTTCCTTTCTCAGCTTGCTGAGCCATTGGGATTATAGGCATGTGCCACTGTGCCTGGCAACATGTTTTTGTTTGTTTAACCATCCATAATATAACAAAAGAATTACTGAAGAAATAAGCAGGGTAAAGGAAAAATAAGGAAGGGAAGAGATATATTCAGGAAGGTGGAGATTATACAAGTCGCAAGGAGGAGACAGATAAGATACTGTTTGAAAAGAGGGGTTTAGTTCATAGATACTGAGAGCTCAGGAGGAGAGCTGGGAAAGACTGGAGTAGATGGTAAATCTCTGAGAGCCCAGCCTTTAAGGCAAGCAGTTGACAATGGAGATATTTTAGGGATGGGGTGAGACTGAGCCAACTTGTAGCAGACAAAACAGCCTAGCCTGGAGTGGGAGCTATGGAAGAGAGAAAGGGTTTCCTACTTTCCCTTTGGGGAGATGGAACATCGGGGGAGGGGGCACACATGTGTAAGCCCCTTGCTAATCCCCTTTTTTACCATCACCACAGGGACAGTGGACTGTTAACCCCCATGACTTCACTCAAGGTATGAGCCCAATCCTGCCTTATCTCTTTGGTTGTATGTCTTCCACTATAKTCTGCAGGTTCCATCTCTCTCCTCCTAGCCTCTGCTCCTGCCATTCCCTGGGCCTAGAATGTCTTTCTCCTCTTTTCCTCTTCTTCCCTTTTCTCTTCCTTTTCCCCTCCTATCCTCCCCCTTTTCCTCTGTCAGCTCTGTACCCATCTCCTTTCTGCAGGGAGGCTGATCCAGCTCCTCATTTTCCTGATGTTGGCTGCCTGCATTGCTCAACGGACCCCTGGCTGTGACACCATTGTGTGTGTGTGCATGCATGTGTGTAGCCACACACATGCACAGATATAGTAAGGGCAGAGATCCTGTGCTTATCACTGAGCTGGGGCACTTCCTTACTTGCAGAATAAAATGATGAGGGCTTGCAAGAACCCAGGCTGTAGGGTCTACTAGTTAGAGTTGTTGGCTGGTAGTGCTAGATGAGGACTTGCCTCCTTTAGAATACCCAGTCCTGGCTTCTGGGCAGATGCTTGCCCAGCCCTTCAGCCCGTCTGTGGACTTGGGCAGACTTCTCTGAGTAGTCCTGAGTGGTCTCTGTTGTCCAGAACCTGAGACCCATGGGAATGTTTGGCCTCATCAGAAGTGAAGAATACAGCATTGGCATGGAGCCTAGTGTCAGATAGCCTCGCAGCTTCTTCCCCTGACCTATATCCCAAGCCTGGAGAATGCTACCCTCAGAAGCCTCGGACCTTCCAACCCTGGAACAGCCTAGTCTGATAAGTCTTAACAATAAACCCTGACTTTCGTATCCTGTGAATGCTGTGCAAAGTCTTTTCACATCCATCTCCCCATTCATAYCACCACAATCCTGGACATTGGTACCCTCTATAAGGCAGATGAGATTGGCAAGTTCAGAAGCTGAGTGATTGGCCCAAAGCCACACAGCACAGCAGAGTTAGTTCCTCACTTGTGGTTCTGTCAGAGAATGTTTTAAAAATCATGTCAATAATTTCTTCATTTGCTAATAAGGGGACCAAAAAAATGCAAAGCTGGTTGAAAAGAACATTTGAGAGATAGGAATTTGTATATTAATTGGCAAAAACATGCTGAAATAAGTTTGCTAAGTTAGAGATTCTGCTGGACAATGTCTTCTGGGCAATAAAACCATCATTTTTGTGGTTCTTTCCTGGAAAAAAAAATCTTTTGCATCTTCACATACATGCACGCACATACTTGTGCAGGCATCCATGAGTTAGTACAGGGCCTCACATGATCTSAACTGTAATCCACGGTGAGTTATTAAAACAAAGGTGCATGCYCCTTAGTAATTAAATAGCACTTCACTGTTCAGCATTGTCCCAGAGTGACGCTGAAGGACGGCAGTCCTCCTTTTGCATTTTTTCCAAGTTACGGTAATTTTTCTTAACATTGCGGAGCACTCTTCCCCCTGCTCCTGCCTTCTGCCAGTGCTGAACAYGTGAGATTTGTGACATGGAGGTGCTTGTTGATCAGCTCTCAGGCTTTTTCACTCACAGAACTCTGTGTGGCTGCACTTCCGGCTGCTCGGCGAGCTCCCTGGATTTGGTTTTTCCTTCATTCTGAGGAATCTTCCTGAGCTCTTTTCTGCATGATAATAATAGCACAGTTATTCATACAGAGCCTTCCCGTACTTCACTTAGTTGAGTATTTAAGAATTTCAAGGCTAGACAGCTCCACAGCACTCCTGCTCCTCCTCTCAAAGAACCACCCCCCAACCCAAAGGTCACATGATTGGAAGAGGCCCAGCTGKTAAGTGRCAGAGCCCAACTTTGAACCAAGGCTACATGTTTGTTTTCTGTGCTGCATCCCTGCTTAGCTGACGTTCTGAGATGGCCCGGCTTCCATCTCCTTCCTTTCATCCTTTTCTCTCTGTCCTTACTTCTTTTTTGGTTCATCAGCTGCCTTGGATCCAGCCCTTTCTCCTCTCTCTCCTCGCCTTAGGACCTAGCCAGGAAACTAACGGCCCACTTCAAGAGGGTTTCCATGACTGGCCATGGGGTAGGGTGGGAGTTACACTTTCACAGAGACTCCCTCCCTCTCAGGAAGGGTGGGAGAAGTTTGCAGAAGCATCCCACCTTCTCTGGCTCAGGGGTCCTCAGAGTTAAGGCACTGTAGTTCCCCCCATAGCCAGTGTCTGTCTCCATTGCCCTTGGCAGGGATAGTTACCACAGCTGTTTTGTAAAGTGAGGAAACCAGTAGAAAGCCAGCCTGAGTCACCCAAAGTCACACAGCCAGTTAAGTTGAAGAGCAGAAACCTGAACCCAGGACAAGGGATTCTCAGCCTCTCATACCCTGGCATCTAGACTTGATCACTGCAAGAACATATTCTGGGGCACAAACTAGGGGCAGGTAGGCAAATTACAGAGGTTCTTAGGAATTACTGAGCCCAGAGGCTTTGGTTTTTAAATCTCTCTGTCTAGCTCAGAGGCAACTGAAAAATTTGTCCTGACAAACACATATACACACACACACACACACACACACACACACACACACACACACAGAGCTTAAAGCAACAGGGAACGTTTTTCTGACCCTTTGTGGCCACCCTGCAAAATGTCTTCTAGCACTCTGTCCAGTCTTTCACAAGCTTTTCTCTTAACCCTGACTCTAGATACCCTGCACCCCAAGCTTTCCTCTCCCTAGAGATTACCCTGCCTTGTTTATGTAGCTGCCTGACAGAGGTTAGGCAGAAGTTAGGCCTTCCCACACTGCCCCACGCCCCTGGCCTGCTTCTATGATTTCCTCCCTCAGCCTGTTCCCATGGCAGCCAGAGCCCTCCTAACCAGATGCTAGTCAGACCTGTTGCTCCTCCAGACAGAACCCTTGTGGGGGGCTCCCCATCCACTAGAGTGAAAGCCAAAGTTCTTCAGGGTCTCTCCACCCCGTTCCTTCCCAACTTCACCTCTTACCACGTTCTCCCAGCCTCCCTGCTATTCTTAAAACACACCAGGCACGCTCCCAGCTCTGGGTCCTTGAGCGATGTCCTTCTACCTGGCATGCACCTCCCTCACTTAGACACCTGGCTCACACCCCCACCTCCTGCAAGGTCTTTGCTCAGATGTCACTTTGATTCCTAGGCCTTTCCTGACCTCCCTACTTAAAATCTTCCTCTCCTTTCTCTGCATTCCTTCTTCCTTTTTCCTGATAGTTTTTCTCCAGAACATTTATCATCATTTTCCATGCTATATTTTCACTTGATCCTCCTACTAAAGTTTGAGCTCCATGATGGCAGAATTTTTTTTTTAAAGCACAAGGGATCAAACCTAGGGGTCTCTCACATGCTAGGCAAGTGCTCTGCCACCAAAGCACATCCCTGGCCCAAGGGCAGAGATTTTCATCTGTTTCATTCACTACTGAAACACCAGGATCTAAAACAGTGACTAGAACATAGTAAGGGCTTAAACTTGTCAAATGGATGAATGGTGTCCAATTTATGTCTGTTGAAAGAGAGAATGAATGAGTCAATTGATCAATCAAGGGAAAACCCACAGGAGAGGTACAGGACAAGAATCAGATTTCAGAGGGGAGGGGTACCATTTCTGGCAGGGCTGCTGGGCAGGTGGCCAGGGGAAGACTTCCATGAGGAAACAAACTATCAAGTCCTCAGGACATTCTGGGAAGAGAGGATCTGAAAATAGCAGCAGCTCAAGGGTCACTTTTCTTCTTTCAAGGGAGGGGAAGAAGCTGGGATTGGAAATGCTAATCATCCCATGAAGAATGGCTCCTCTTGGCGGTGGAGTACACACAGGGCCTATCTGTTTATTTTCCTTTGGCCCCAAGCAGCTGGGCCTCTTTTTCATCCTAATTGCTTTGCTTCAAGTTGCTGTCACTTCTCAGGAACAGCAGAAAATGAACTGTGCTGGTGGGAGACTCAGCTGTCAGAAGACAGGCCACCTCTGAGCATCCTGATCATGGACACGGGATGTGGGACCCTGGTGGAAGAGGTCTCCACCCAGCAATGTTCTCCACAGTCTGCAGGCTTTGGCCCCAGCTGGAGCAGGGGAGCTTGAAAAGAGGGAGCCCCTCTCTGGCATCTCAGCAACTGAGAAAGGTAAAAGGGGTCTTTTATTGGGTGGCAAGGTACAAACGTCTAGTCTGACCCCTCTCTTTTCACAGGGGAGGAATATGAGGTCAAGGGGGACCGAGTATTTGCCTGAGGGCATACAGCAGGCAGTGTGAGCTAAATTCCTGAGCTAAATTCTACATTTCTAGAATCCTCTTCTCCTCATACCATGCTGATCTCTTGTGTTGTCTGCCAGGACACCCAAGAGGGAGATTCCCCACAATGACCCATTAGGCCTGCCAACTTGGATTCCATACTTCTAATTTTGTCCAGTAAAACTCACTCCTATTATGTCCTGTTCTCTTAGCATCTTGCTTTGATTCAGTAAGGAGAGACAAAGAAGTCAGTGATATTTGGGTACCTGGGCCCTTCAAAGCCTCACACACACAATCTCTCTCTCTCTCTCTCTCTCTCTCTCTCTCTCTCTCTCTCTCTCTCTCTCTCTCTCTCTCTCACACACACACACACACACACACACACAGTTTCGCCAATTCTAAGAGTGGCCCAAGGCCATTGGCTCAGTATGCTTCTCTTTCGGGGTAACTTATTTTCATTCTAACTGGGGCTTTCTAATGATGTGCCTAACTCCAAAGTGCTGGTTAGCAGAGAGAATTCCAGGTGCTCAGAGAGGGTGCTAGCACTGGGTTGGGATGGAAATAAGGGAATGAAGGTCTTGTGGGGCATCCTCTGCAGAGAGACCCAGGGCCTGCCTGTCAGCCAGCTGGTTTGGGAGTCAAATGTTGGCTGAGAGTGACTGCTGTTTAACCTTGGGTAAGTTCCTTAATCTTTCTGAAGTTGAGGGCTCTCAACTCTACACAGAGCTAATTCCTACGCCACAGGGTTAATACACATGTGAAATGAGAGTTTACCCATCAGCATGTGATCTTCCTCTCCGTGCTCCTTTCTCTTCTTCACACTTGGAGCACTTGCTGTGAGGAGGGCATAGGCCTGGTGAGTGGAGCACAGCCTTGCAGTTGGTACTTAGCGCTCAGAACCATTAAGCCCAGGCCTCAGCTTCAGGGGGTCATGGGTTCCCATTCCAGCTGCATCACTGGAAATGGTTTCTTTATAGAACAGAGATGATGGCAGTACTCACCTTATGCAGTCATTGTGCAGATTATGTGAAGCACCTGCTGTTTCGAGGCCAGAGAGGTGGCTTGGGGCCTAAGTGTGGGACCCTTGAATGCCTGGCAGGAGAACCTGAGCTTTCTTCTACAGGAATGGGGAGCCATGGCACATTTTTGAGGCGGTGAGTGCAGTAGACAGAGGTGCTCAGTGCCCCTGGAAGCTGCCCAATGGGAGCACCAGCTGGAGTAGGGAGGGGGGAGTGTGAAGTCAGGGGACTCATTTCCCAGCTCCCTCTCTGTGTGGCTGTCTTGTGCTTTTTCTTCCACTGACCCAATCACAGGACCTGACATGTGGCCCTTTCTGTGCAGTCCTCTCAGTCTCCGGCTTGGGGTGGCCACTCCTTCAGGTCTAGGAGTGGTGAGAGCCCGGCTGTCTCTTGCAGTTCCTGGAGTGGCCCTTCACTCTTTGTAAATGGCCTCATTCCTCAACTTTCCCTGAGGACCTGATTTGAGTTGTCATCTCTTTCCTGGCTGGAGCTTGCTGGATGTGTGCCCTGTCCCTTCTGGCCATCTTTATGGGCATGTGTCACTGAGTGGCTAGGCTTGGGCACAATAAAGGATACTGGAATATGTCCATCTCATGCCTTGGCCTGATTACTCGGTGATGGGAACCAGAGGAATGTCTTCTGGGCAAGGGCAGTGCCTCCGTGACTGTGACTGGCAGCTGGGGCCTTACCTCCCAAAACACTTGAATTTGAGGGGAAAAAATTGACCTTTAGAAGCTCTTTGAAGATTGGCTGGGAATGGAAACAGAACCAGAGGCATGAGCTCCAGAGTACACAGCTTCTGCCATCCCTTTCCAGGTGAGGGACCAGGCAGAACTGTAGCACCAGCCCTGAGGCAGAGCCTGGCTCTATATTGCCCTGACCAGACAGCCAGACCTGACCTTCACCAACTTTAACCAAGAGGTCCTCAGGCTCCCCAGTGAGAGCTCTGGAGACCCTTGCTTCATGTTTAGCCTTGTCACCCATTTGCTGGGTGACTTTGGGCTGGTTACATCCCCTCTCTGAGTTGCTTTGTGTCTGTCGTTGAAGATGAGAAGACATCTGTCTGATGTCCATATTTGCTATGGGACCAGGTGAGGGCCCCATTGTGACGGGAGCCAGTGAGGTAGCAGGGATGTTTCAACTGCTAGCTCAGATTTTCTGGATTCTAATTCAGTTCTAGCACTTTCTAGAATGTGTGACCTTGGGCAATTTAACCTCTTGGGATCTCAGATGGGCTTCTGTCAGTGAGCATACGGGTGCCTAAMCTCAAAGGGCTGTTGGGAGGATAATATAGCACACCAAAAGAGCTTAGAACAAACAGTGCTGGGCCCACAAAGTCAATAAACCAGAAGAATCTTGACCCTCAGGCAAGGGCAGTTGGTCTGGAGAAGGTGATTAGGTAGCAATGGAGGGAGCCCTAAGGAGGGGTTGGGGCCTGCCATTCCTCCTGTTAGGATACTTACTGTCTCCAGAATGTAACCCTGATCTGGCACTGTAGTAGGGACATGGAGCAATGCTCCCTCTGGTGGAGGTGGGAGGGAGGGGTGTGTGAGGTGCAGGGGCAGGGCCCTGTCCTCTGACCTGAGATGTACAGAGAGCCCTCCCCACTGCTGGGTCTGACCAAAGATACAGATGAAGTGTCATTCCTTTGGAAGGTCCCTGAGGGTCCCGCACCCCTGAGGATATAAAAATGTTTTTCTTAGCTTCGCTTCCTACCTTGAACCTCCCAAACAGCTCTGGACACCTCCAGGCTATCTCTTTGGCCACCTGCCCCCATATGGCAGGGATTGGGGTGACAGAGCAAAACTCATTACAGGGCAGGGGTGGTGGCTTTCCTGACCAGCAGCACCCACCCCTCTCCTCAGCTGGACCTGCTACACCACAGTGTGGCCACTGCTTCTGACCTGCTCAGGGACATGACCCAGGCTTCTCTCCGCTCCACTCTGCTGCCATGCAAAATGTGCCACGTGCTCCCCAAAAGAGGGACAGCATTCCTGGGTTTCCCTCTCTCCCTCTTTTCCTCCTTCTCTCCCATTCAGCAAACACACCTGAGTGTCCTAACTATAAGCTGTGTCAGGCTCAGGGGCAGAGAGACTGCAGGTTCAGTGTCTGTCCCCAGGGCCTCACAGTAGGAAGGAGGGTTCCCTCAGCAGTTACAGGCCCAGGATGGAAGTTGCCCACCGGAGGCCACAACCTTGCAGACAGTCTGGGCCCAACTTTTCCTCCCTAAGTTTAGACTTTCCCCAGGTTCACAGGGAGACAGGACAAATTCTACCCCAGTTGGTTGCTGCCTGTGTCCCTGTCCTCACTGTATCCTGTTGGTGTTTTGGTTGTCAGCAGGTAGAACCACCTTTGGCCAAGTTAAGGAGAACAGGATCCCCCTGGAAGAACTCTGAGTGCTTAGCTCCTGGGAAGGCCAGAGCGCCTGCTGGGGAAGGGTGGAGCCCAGCAGCTGCAGACTTCAGGACTCCAGGAGCTGTGTCCACTCCTGATCACAGCCAGATCAAGTGCCCCCAGGGTTCTGAGGTTATAGGCCCAGGCCCACTGGCTCTGTGTGGATGTGACATGTGCCTATCCCTGGTCTGAGGATGACAGGACACTTGGACAACCACTAAGATGACTATATCTGAGGGGACATTCTCCCAACTATACTGAGTGTCACTTAATAAGGGGCAATGGTCAGCACAAGGCTTGCTGGAGTCCTTGGAATACTAGGGCTGCTGGGGGTATTTGGAATCTGTGGTTAAGCCATGCCCCCAGGCTGGCCTGTCCTGGGTCTCTGGCTTCCTTCCATCTTTCTGCCCTCATCTGACACCCAGTTAATGTCTTTGCTCAACCTGGAAACATTTTCTTAATGACAAAAAAATAAAACCATAGGTTAAAAGTCTTGAGCAATAAAACAGCAGATGACATCACATGGGCAGCTGCCCAGAGGACACAGAATGCATGTCTCTTGAGTGGGTGGCCTTATAAGGACAGGTTCTCCTCTCAGGAGAATGGGCAGGAGGGAGGGCCACCATTAGGAGCCAGGAGGCTGGACTGGGGTGGGTACCCCACTGCTGGGCTGGGGATAGAGCCAGCCAGGGTGTCTGGCCAGGATCCAGTTCCACCAGGGAACTGGCCAAGTATAACCTTCAGAGGCCCTTATTGAGCCAGAGCCTGCCTGCCTGCCATTATCACCAGCACAGGCATTGACCTGCCCACAGGAGCTGCTGACTGACCCACAAGCCAGGCCAGCCCCAGGAAGCCCCGCTCCAGGACAGAGGCCATTTCTCATGCTTTGTCCCACCTTCCCCCACTGCAGGCTGAGTTGGTGTGGTATGTAATAAAGGTTTGTGGGGTGGAAGAATCAGTGAATGAATGGGTCTTTGGTTGTAGTTTTGGCTCATCAACTTAGCTGTAAGTAGCTTCTGGAATGCTGGTTGTATCATCTCATCTCAGAGAGACTAACACAGGGCTGAGCAGGTGCTTAACAATTTCAAAGAGTCACATAACTAGATAATGATCTAGGATGTAGTTCCAGCTTAGATGTGATTTCATTATTCTATCATCTAAAAATTTATTTTGAACTAACAAATTTGCCCATTGCCATTTCATTTTTAATCAAGTAATAGTTTTCTAGGGATGGAAAGGTTTGGAATAGGTGGAAGAAGAATGGGAATAGTGGCATGTGTGAGGGCCTGCCAACTAGTCACCTCTAATCCAGGGGACTTAATAAAGTGATGGACTGAGTCCAGGTTAATCAGAACACAAATAGCTTTGGAGCTAACATTGTATCTTAGAAATTGAACTTTACTGTCTTTTCCAAGTGTAGTTCTCTTTTGGGCAATAGACATATGACCAACTTGGTGCCATCTTTCAGATTTTTTAGTAGTTTTGTATTGCCTGCAAATTATTCAAAACAAGTTTGAAGACCAAAGAATATTTTTAATGTGATTTCAAGTTGGCAGACATTGAGGCTTAGTAGGAAGCATCAAGGGGCTGGACAGCCTTAGGAGACCTGAGTTCTAGTTCTGCAGTGTATACCTGCAGAAGTCCCTGTACACATTCAAACACAGTGTCTCTATGAACTGAGAAATGTGGAAGTTTCCTTCTTTTTTTTTTTTTTTTTAACAGACCTCAGCTCCATGCCCAGCCCCATTTGCAGGGTAGAGTGAAGCTGGGAGGTTCGGATTTTGTGGTAATTGCCACAGGTTTTTGCATGGGCCAGCTCGGATAGCAGGGCACCAGCATCTTGGCCTCTGACCTCTGCTTGCCTGAGTCATGGGCCACTATAGCAACTGGCCATCTCAATTCTTGAGGACCTCTAAAGGATAGACCTGGGGTGACTAGAGGCTACTCTGGTACCAACTTCCCCATCCTCAAGGAGGAAAGACTGACATAGGACCCCAGATTGTCAGAGCAGGGGGCATAGAGTGGCTGTTCCAGAGGTTCACAAATACTAGCTGTGGGCCCAGTACATTGTAAAGAATACCCAGGGGGCTTCTTACATAAAACAAAACAAGCTGGGCATGACAGCACACACCGATAGCCCCAGCTACTCAGGAGGCTGGGGCGAGAGGATCACTTGAGTCTACGAGTTCAAGATCAGCCTGGATAACAGAAAGAACTATCTCCAAGAAAAACAGAAACCCGCAAGCAAACAGATTCCTGATGGCTGTCAAGCTATGCCTTTTGAATCAGAATACCTAATGGAAAACAGCTAGGTCTGAAAATTTTTAAATTTTGACCTGGTCAAATCTTTCTACTTTTTCTTGAGAATCTAAGGCTCAAAAACTCCTTGATTCCAGACATCATCAGAACTCAAGGCTTCTAACCCACAGTAAAGATGTTCTTTCCAAACCAAAACCAGGAGCCTACAGGACTCAAAAGAACTGCCACAAGGGTTGGGGGTTGTGGCTCAATGGTAGAGCGCTTGCCTAGCATGCATGAGACACTGGGTTCGATCCTCAGCACCACATAAAAGTAAAATAGAGATATTGTGTCCACCTAAAACTAAAAAAATAAATATTAAAAAAAGAACTGCCATGATTTATTTGTTTTAATTTTCTCAAAGTCAAAGTGATTAATGCACATAGTTTGAAGAATCAAATACAAATATGAAAAACATGATTCCTTGCCCACCCTCTCCCCTCTGCCCCTTCCAGGAGGCAAGGGGGCAATGCTTTCAACTCCCGCCCCTGGCATTGTTTACACAGTGAGAATGCACRGCTTCCTTAATCTTGTTAGGCTTTCATAACAGGCTGGACGGGGTTGCCCAGGCCTTGCAGAATGCCTCAGCGGTCACTGGGCACAGGCCACCAGCTCCTCTAGGGCTTGATCKCGATGGTTGCCATGGACAAGCAGCACCTCCTTGATCCGGTGTGGCTGGAAGCCCATGTCGCTGAACTGCTCCCAGAGGCTCAGGAATTCCCCTGCCTGAGGAGGAGGAGATGGGAGGGGGCTCTGCAAGGCCCACCTACACCCTGGAAGCATCTCCCCAGTACCTTCTGCACCTCATCCCAGAAAGCTGTGGTCCCCCAAACCAGAAGAACCTAATCCTCGGCAGCATCTGCMGTCTTCCTGTACCTCTGTGTGTAGGAAGTGTGATGTGACTCCCAACTCTTCCTCTACCAGGAAAGAAGTTCTGACCTGGCCACTAGCTCTGCCCGGCCTCACCTCTCCCCTCTCATATGGCCTTGACCCCTGTGCTCAGGTACTGGGGCAGGAAGAAGGGTGCACACTGGCATCAGGTGCGCCAGCACCGCTGAGGTTTCACATAATGCAGCCCTTGCCTGCCCTCCTCTTCTGACCCCTTTCTTCCTCAGCACCTCTGTCCCTCTGGCTGCCTCTATGAACAGGTGCTCTGGCTGGGAGTAGGGTTGGGGGCAAGTAGTATTCATCAAGCACTTAGAATTTTCTGTGAGGCCTGCAGCTGCCTGCATTCTGGGGAGTTCAAGTATCTCTGTGTGGCCCTTGATTCCTGTCTGGGTGTCTGACAAAGAATGGGCATTCACGAATGTCTGTTGTGTTGATTCAGCTAAATAAAACAAAACCCCTGCTTTCTTCGCCTCCAGTTGCCCTCCCCACATCTCAGGATTCTCCCTCTATCTTCTGCTTCATCTCCCTGGGCCAGCTCTTTCTCCCCTGGACCGAGGCTGCAGGCTGTCTCCTGTCCAGCCCACAGGCTGCTCTGGGAACTGGTGTGCCCCATCCCTCCCAGCCCCTGGAGCCCAGGCAGGAGGCTCAGCTGACCTGGCTCTCAGAGAACTGGAACATCTCCATGGCCTCGTCCACCAGGGCCTCCTCGTAGCCCTGCTGCAGAAACCTTTCATGGGCACTGAGGTAGCTGAGAAACTGGTGGGAAGAAGGCAAAGAGGGAAGGATGATAAGAGAGGCAGAGGCAGCAGAAGAGGTGTAGAGGCACCCAGGGCCTCACTAAGGCCTGAGCTCAGAACTAGGCAGACTGGCCAGCCCACCACATCCCATGGGGCCCCAGAGATATCATGGGCTAACAGAAGAGGAACAAAGGACCT